ACTTTCCTACAGTTTGCTACCCTTAGAAGCCTAAAACTTTTTTGGTCACCTTTTAAAAATCGATTGTTCTTTTGTTAAGATGCTATGTAAACCAATGTTCTAACCACCCCTTTGAGTTAGTTATCAATAGATTTCTCCCATGTTAATGCACATATTAATAAATGTGTTTGTTTTTCTCTTGTTAATCTGTCTATTGTCAGTCTAATTTTCAGGGACCTGGCTGGAGAACCTAGGAGGGTAGAAAAAAGGTTTTTCTTCCCCTATGCCTTCATTCATTTGAGCATTCTCAGGAATGACTGCGAATAACTCTCTAGATGATGTTAGGGGAAGATTCAGACGGAGACTTGGGAGAGTGTTAAGGACTCAGTGAAAAGAAATGTCTCAAATCCCTAGATATTTTTTTCTGTAAATTTAGTTACACCCTCTAAGTCAAATCTCCCTTATTTAATCTCTCACTCAGGGTCTCAACCTTCAATCTATAAGACGAGGCCCTTTTATGGTATCTCTTACATGAAACTGCTTCTTACATAAAAAAAAATGACAGATTCTTCTTTTGATTCTAAATAAGTACAGATTACCTTTGTGGAGATAGCATCAGGCAATTATGTTTTTCACTTTTTATTTTATACTAAGAGAATGTGTTAATTTTGCAATGAAACTATAATAACAAAAGAAGCTATAGAAGAAAATCTTAATCTTGAAATAAAGAGAAACATAATGAAACTAATTTTATAAATATAGAGACAGGCAAACACAAAAATTAAAAATTTCCCTTGAAACTACTTGTTGACTTATCTATTGAAAAGCAAATTGGAAAATGTATTTTTGGCATAAGCTTCTATGTTTTGCATGTATTCTGCTATATTTTTTATTTTGTAAAGGATTAATATAATTTATATATCAAATCTTAAAATCAGATCAAGAAAATGAGAGAAAAACGGAGAAAGATAATTCAAAGAAGATAAAATATAGATATGAATTATTAAAAGATAGCTTTTTTTAAAATTCAAAGTAAAAAAACAATGTGATAATATCACAAGTGGTACTGTTCATTTGCTATGAATTTACCTAGCTAATATTTACAGACAATTTGGCACTATTTATCAAAATTTTAAATATGTATGATCTATGATCTAGATATTCCACTTTTAGGCATTCAGCTAGTGGAAATACAGTTCTACCAGAGGTGCACACAAATATACCTGAAATAAAGTATATTCTAGCTATTTTATATTAGTAAAAATTTTGATAGCAATAAAGTATCCATTAATATACCAGTTATTTATTTTCTTATATCTAGCTAATCTCATTAATAAACAAAACAACCCCTGAAGCAGGTATTATTACTCTTTTTTTACAGAGAAGATAACTGAGACTTAAAGAGGATAATTACCAAATTGCCCGTGACAAATAATTAGGTAGTATGTACTGAATATGGTGACTACAATCTAACCCACCTGTGTGATTATAACGCCTTTTTGTAACTTGGTAAAAGTTAAGGTTTTATACTTTAGTAAGCATAGGATGTGGATTTGAAACCTAGGAATTCAGACTCTGTTTAGGTTGTTTCAAATATTTTTGTGTTACAAAAATGTTATCATAATGACTAACCTTGTACACATCATTTTGTCATAAGGAGGCATATATGAAATGTAACTCCTGTAAATGTGATTTCTGGATCAAATAATAAATTCATACACATTTTGTTAGATGTTTAAAAATTCTGTTGTATGGTCTATCCATAAGCAAAGTATGAGAGGCTCTGTTTTCTAACATTATAGCCAGCGCAGGGTTAATCCTTTTAACTTTTACTAATCTGACAGGTGGGAAATGGTACCTTGGTATAGTTTTTAATGTATTTTCTCTTATTAATAATAAGCAAAGCATATTCCAATGATGTATCTGTTCTTTATGTTTATCAGGCTTTTGATCATTTCTTTCCTCTACATTTTGAGGAACTTTTATGTATTAGAAAAAGCAAGCATTTTTTCTATAATATAACTTGAAAAGATTTCAATTTGTCATTGACTTTTGTCTCTTTGCTTATGATGTTTTTTTTTTTTTTTTTTTTTTTTTTTTTTTTTTTTTTTTTTTTTTCCCCATGAAAGAAAGGGAGGTATATTTCTTTCTTTTTTTTTTTTTTTTTTTTTTTGAGGCAGAGTCTCGCTCTGTCGCCCAGGCTGGAGTGCTGTGGCCGGATCTCAGCTCACTGCAAGCTCCGCCTCCCGGGTTCCCGCCATTCTCCTGCCTCAGCCTCCCGAGTAGCTGGGACTACAGGCGCCCGCCACCTCGCCCGGCTAGTTTTTTGTATTTTTTAGTAGAGACGGGGTTTCACCGTGTTAGCCAGGATGGTCTCGATCTCCTGACCTCCTGATCCGCCCGTCTCGGCCTCCCAAAGTGCTGGGATTACAGGCTTGAGCCACCGCGCCCGGCCGGGAGGTATATTTCTTATTAGAAAATCATAGAGAAATTCCTGTGGAAAAGACATATAAACAGGGAAATGAAGAAAAGGTGGGAATGAGTCATGTAAAGATACAGGGAAAGGATGTTTCAGGAAACAAAATAACAAGCACAAAAGCCTAAGAAGGAAATGAGCTTGGTGTGTCTGTAAAACAGCGGTCAAGTTTATGTGTCTTCAGTGGCATAGTTGTATTTAAAGAAATCTCTGCAATTCTTTTAAAAATACATTTAATTTTGACTTGTTAGAATTATATTTGATTGAATTTAGTTATTGTAAATATTAGATTAAAATATTTTTCTGTTTTATTCTTGTCTTCTTTTTCCTATTCCTCCTTGTAGAAACAAAATTTGAGTATGATACACAATCTGGTTAGGTCTCAGGACAACCATTCTGAGTGTTGGATGAGCCATTCATTAATAATAATTGAAACAATAATACAAATAAAGCTATCCTTTGTAGAGCACTTATTTATATGGAAAGTGCTGTTTTAAGATGGTTATATATTTATTTCTCATTAAATCACTAAGAGAAAGTTACTATTATTATTTCCGTTTTAAAGATGAGAAAGTTGCTGGGTGTGAGAGCTCAGGTCTGTAATCCCAGCACTTCGGGAGGCCGAAGCAGACAGATGACCTGAGGTCAGGAGTTCGAGACCAGCCTGGGCAACATGGCAAAACCCCACTTCTACTAAAAATATGTAAATTAGCCCGGTGTGGTAGTGCATCCCCAGCTACTGGGGAGGCTGAAGCGCAAGAATCGCTGAAACCTTTGAGGTGGAGGTTGCAGTGAGCTGACATCAGGCCACTACACTCCAGCCTGGGCAACAAAGCAAGGCTTTGTCTCAAAAAACAAAAGAAGAAAGTTGAGATACAGAGAAGTAAAGTAACTTGCCCAGACTCATACAGTTAGTAAATGGAACAGTCATTTCCAACACAGTCAATTTCAAAAAGATCTAGAACTCAAAACTTGATCACTACTTCTTACAGTTTTCTCTTCCACATAATAAGGATGCTAATGGCTCCTCTCTCTAATTTTTATTATCATTGTCTTGAGGATGCAGAGAGCTATGTGGAAACAAAAAGGTGGAAATGAACTGAACATTCATTGAATGCTTATTATGCAATTGATATGTAATGTTATATTATTCTCATCTTCAAAGTTGAGCAGAAAATTAAGTTCATGAATATTATGCAAACTCTCAAGCTTATTGAACAAGTAGTACATCTTACTTTTAAATCCATATCTCCTGGCACCTAGCACAATTCTCTCCTCTATGTGACATTGAGTTCCAGTGTCTCCCAGGAGGAAGAACTCCTGCAAAGAAGAATGAGTCTAGAGCAAAAAAGTGATGTTACATTTTTTTAAAGAAGAATTTTATACAGATATACTCATATTACATATTTGCCAGGAGAGGGTTCTCATGCTTTGGGGCAATATGATAAAAAGCCTTCAAAATAATCTTTTCTTTCTCAAGAAGTGTACACTCTAGACAGGGAATTAAGACACAAACATGAGTTTTCTAATAAAACAAGAAGCAATATACTAATGATCCAACAAAACAGTGATTTAGATGAAAAGTGGGGCAGAATCTCAAATGATGGCTCTTTCACTGTGGGCTGAGTATAGGAGTGGGCAGGGTTGAGATGTGAACTATGTTTTCAAGAATAGTTTGGTCTTGGGCTAAAATTCAGGTTGAGTTCCTCTTCTCAATCTTAGAGAACATCAGCCTAGGCTAATTCCTGATGTTAATAGTTATTATTGAGTAAGTTATTAAATAACATATAGATGTTTATATTTCTTTAACTATTAAATAATATATACATCCATAGATATTAGATATCAGCAGGTATTTTTATTTCTAATTTTAATGATGAATATAACTTTTAAATACAAAGCATATTTGGATGGATAGGAGTCCTATACAATTGTCTACATTTCAGGGAAAACTTCATCCAGAACAGGTAATGGTTAGTTCAGAATTATTTGATAAAAGTTGATAAATGGATATGTCCACCTATTTATGCTGCTGCTGTGTTAGTATCTCCGAACATGGGTATATACATGTATGTGATCATGAATTTGTGCAACTGGTAAGAAAAATATCATCCCATGAGACTATAAACTCTTAGACATGACAGTTCTCAGGGGTTCCCATCATGAGAAAGATGTTGAACTGGCAAATGTCAAAATTATATAGAAGTGATTAAGAACAAATTAGGAAGCCAATGTAAGCAGTTAGAGAAAGGTTTCAGTTAGACTGTAAATTTGGTTTTTACATTTCCCCTAATTAGCTAGTTTTTCTTGAGGTGATGGGAAATCAGATTGCATTTCAATAGTAAGGGTAAGAGGATTAGATAGATTTTGCTAGAGATTTCCAATAAAAGAAATCAGAGGTGGGTTTGAATAGATGACATATTTAAATAAATTGAAAGATCGATGAGAATAACACAGGGATAATTGGAAAATGTAGAGGCAAGAATGGGCTAAATACGGGACAATTGATAGATATAGAAAAGGGTTGAGACTAAGTTGAAAGCCTTTATTTAGATCCTTTGGCAAGATTTGAAAACATCTGCTTAGCCCCTTCCAGTATTTGCTTGGTCCTCACTCCATAAATAATGGGATTGAGCATAGGAGGAATGACAACGTAGAGGTTGGCCAGGAGAATATGGACATAGCGTGGGATGCTTCTCCCACCAAACCTATAGGCAAAGACAGAAAAAAGGGCAGGGACATAGAAGAGTAGGATGACACAGACATGGGATCCACAGGTACTCAGGGCCTTGGAGCGGGCATCTTGAGAAGGGAGGTGGAAGACTGCTTGGAGGATGTGGATGTAGGAAACAGTAATAAGGATGATGTCCAGGCCTGTGGAGAGAAGAGCAGCTGCCAACCCATACCAGACATTGATGGAGATATCAGAACAGGAGAGGTGGGCAATGCCCATGTGCTCACAAAATGTGTGTGCAATGATGTTGATCCGGCAATAGTGCAGGCGCTTGAGGAGAAAGATGGATGGAAATATAACGATGAACCTGCAGCTCAGGATGGCAGCGGCAATCTTCCCAATGACCTTGCTTGTGAGGATCGTGACATATCTCAGCGGGGAGCAGATGGCCACGTAGCGATCAAAGGCCATGGCCGCCAGGACAACAGAGTCAGCCACAAAGAGGAAGTGAATGAAGAACATCTGAGTGAGGCAGCCATCAAAGGAAACGTGGCTATAACCTAGCCACAAATTGGCCAGGGCCTTAGGCATGGTGGTGGTAGAGAGCAAAACATCAGCACTAGCCAGCAGGGATAAGAATATGTACATGGGCTCATACAGGATTGCCTGGGAGAGGATGACACAAATTAGGATGCCATTGCCTGCCAGGGCGGCAATGTACATGATGCAGCAGGGGATGGATAGCCAGATGTGTAGGTGCTCCAGCCCAGGGATGCCAGTAAGGAAGCAGCCTGCTATGCGAGTGTCAGAGTTGTTCACAGCAGCTATGCTGTTAACAGAAAAAAGGGCCATGATTTTATGCAGAGTCCTCACCTGTGCCATAGGGAAAAAAGAGCTTCAGATTTTTGAACGCATTAGCAGAGTGTCCATAAAAACAAACAGCCACAAGGTCTGCATATAGTTAGAGGCCTGATGACAGTTATGGCCTCTGCACACAGACATATCTCTACAGATAATCACACACAGGCTCTGCACACAGCCATATTCTCTCTAAATAATTACACATGGGCTCTGCACAGTTACAGGACCTGCCCACAGACAGGCTCTGTGTTCCTACTCAGAAGCCCTCCACACAACTTTAAGAATTTCAGGAAACTAGGCCAGGCGCAGCGGCTCACGCCTGTAATCCTAGCACTTTGGGAGGCCGAGGCGGGTGGATCATGAGGTCAGGAGTTCAAGACCAGCCTGGCTAAGATGGTGAAACCCCATCTCTGCTAAAAATCCAAAAAAAAAAAAAAAAAAGAAAAGAAAAAAGAAAACAGAAAAAAAAAATTCAGGAAACTAAAGGGCTCAAAAACATTGCCAGACTCAGCACAGTACCATAGGTCCTGAAAAGAACAGGGATAGGTAGAACATCAAAACCAATCTCTACAATCTCTTTGGGCATGTGAACTGTAATGAGCTCTGCAAAAGCCCCAGGCCCTGCAGAGAGGACTGCAGTCCTACAACAAGAGGACTAAGCAACAATTTGCTTAGCAGATTATATGAAAGAGTAGGATTGGGGGTGGTAGGTACTGTCAACCCTATATCCCTTTTTCCCTAGGCACAGATGAAGGCAGTTAAGGTAGCTATGGCGTTTAGAAAGAACACAGGAGAGAGTGTGAAAAAACCTGGGTCAGAATTCTGCCCTGTTAACTATTGGCTGCATGATCTTGGACAAGTCACTTCTCTGAGTAACAATTTTCTAATTTTTAAAATGAGCATAATTGTTGTTTTGTTGGTATATTAAGCTAAATTTTCTCCATGGAAGGCTTATTAAATTGCGTGTGACTTCCTGAGTCACCTCTGTGACTGTGAAATGTGGCACTATCATCCAGAGCAGAAAGGTAGGTGTAGGACAACGTTTCTGAAGCTTGGTCTCCACAGCATCATCAGTGAACTTGTAAATTCTTTGGCCCTACCACAAACCTACGGATGAGAAAACCTAGAGTTGGGATAACAATCTGTGTTTTGGCAAGCTCTCTAGATGATTCTGATTCATGCTGAAGTTTGTGAACCACTGATGTAAGAACTTATTGAGCTTTCTTCCCTATCTACTCTAGATGTCTATCATTTCCGCCAGGATCATTTCTTTTTAGTACCCATTGGTTTCTGCTGTATCTGTAAATTCTCAGACTTCAAATAAATCTAACTAGTGTTATCCTCAGCTTACATAGTCAGGTTGTGAAAAAAATGACACAATCACATAAGTAGTCTTTAGTACATATTAGGACACGTGATTCCTCCTCAGTCCTATTAAACTATTCTCACAATGAATATATGACTTTTTTTTTTTTTTTTTTTTAATTGAGATGGAGTCTCGCTCTGTCGCCCAGGCTGGAGTGCAATGATGTGATCTTGGCTCACTGCAAGCTCCGCATCCTGGGTTCAAGTGAGTCTCCTGTCTCAGCCTCCCGAATAACTGGGATTACAGGTGCCCACCACCATGCCCGGCTAATTTTTTTTGTATTTTTAGTAGAGATGGGGTTTCACCATGTTGGTCAGGCTGATCTTGAACTCCTGACCTCAAGTGATCCACCCGCCTTGGCCTCCCAAAGTGCTGGGATTACAGGCATGAGCCACCATGCCTGGCCTATACGACTTTTATCACTGCCCAAATTCTGTTTTTCTCTCTCCACTGAATGTTTCTCTTTTGTAACTCACATTTCAAGACTATCAGGAACATATCCCTCATATTATTCCCTTCCTGTAAATTTATTTATCTCTGCATCCATCCTCCCCTCATATCCTCCAGTCCCAGCGAAAGAGGTGCTAATATCTTTTCTATTTTCCAATGTTTCCTTTGTCATAGCTGTAATGTATTTTACTTTACCTAAATATAAGAAAAGTTTCTTGAGTAATTTTTGGGAGGTGCTGGGAAATGAACCTAGGGCCTCATGTATGAATATTTAACTTATTAGATTCTTTTAAAAACAACCTTATACACAGACAAACATACATATGCATACTTGCATGCATGCATTCATATATGTACATATGTATGTATGCATGTATATACATGTATTTATGTGTGTATGAATGTATGTAGCTATAGCGTCAATAATAATTTCCCCACCTATTCTCTGAACTTCCTTTCTTTCCTACCACTTCAGGGATTTTGTTTCATCAATTATTCTCTCTCTTTATCTTCAGCTTCTCCTAATTTCCTGGATCTTTATTAAAGAACATTCAAATGTTTTTAACCTGAAGACAAGCAAAAAATTAAGAACAACTATAATAAAAACATTTTATTCTACTAAACTCTCTTTTAAATTACAGTTTTGTCTCTCTTCTTTCCTTTAAAATTCATTCTTCCATGAAAGACCACTTTTGACTTTGATTTCTCTACCTTCCACTGTTTCTTCTCTTGTACCCTGGTCTGATCCTGCTCTCATTAAATCATCTCTCTCCCTGCAGAATTGTTTACTGTTTTTTTTTTAAAAATTTATTTACTATTATTATTATACTTTAAGTTCTAGGTTACATGTGCATAACGTGCAGGTTTGTTACATATGCATACTTGTGCCATGTTGGTGTGCTGCACCCATCAACTCGTCAGCACCCATCAACTCGTCATTTACATCAGGTATAACTCCCAATGCAATCCTTCCCCCCTCCCCCCTCCCCATGATAGGCCCCGGTGTGTGATGTTCCCCTTCCCGAGTCCAAGTGATCTCATTGTTCATTTCCCACCTATGAGTGAGTGAGAACATGCAGTGTTTGGTTTTCTGTTCTTGTGATAGTTTGCTAAGAATGATGGTTTCCAGCTGCATCCATGTCCCTACAAAGGACACAAGCTCATCCTTTTTTATGGCTGCATGTATTCCATGGTGTATATGTGCCCCATTTTCTTAATCCAGTCTGTCACTGATGGACATTTAGGTTGATTCCAAGTCTTTGCTATTGTGAATAGTGCTGCAATAAACATATGTGTGCATGTGTCTTTATAGCAGCATGATTTATAATTCTTTGGGTATATAGTCAGTAAGGGAATGGCTGGGTCATATGGTACATCTAGTTCTAGACCCTTGAGGAATCGCCACACTGTTTTCCATAATGGTTGAACTAGTTTACAATCCCACCAACAGTGTAAAAATGATTCTATTTCTCCACATCCTCTCCAGCACCTGTTGTTTCCTGACTTTTTAATGATCGCCATTCTAACTGGTGTGAGATGGTATCTCATTGTGGTTTTGATTTGCATTTCTCTGATGGCCAGTGATGATGAGCATTTTTTCATGTGTCTGTTGGCTGTATGAATGTCTTCTTTTGAGAAATGTCTGTTCATATCCTTTGCCTACTTTTTGATGTGGTTTGTTTTTTTCTTGTAAATTTGTTTGAGTTCTTTGTAGGTTCTGGATATTAGCCCTCTGTCAGATGAGTAGATTGCAAAAATTTTCTCCCATTCTGTAGGTTGCCTGTTCACTCTGATGGTAGTTTCTTTTGCTGTGCAGAAGCTCTTTAGTTTAATGAGATCCCATTTGTCAAATTTTGGCTTTTGCTGCCGTTGCTTTTGGTGCTTTAGACATGAAGTCTTTGCCCATGCCTATGTCCTGAATGGTACTACCTAGGTTTTCTTCTAGGATTATTATGGTATTAGGTCTAACATTTAAGTCTCTAATCCATCTTGGATTAATTTTCGTATAAGGAGTAAGGAAAGGATCCAGTTTCAGCTTTCTACTTATGGCTAGCCAATTTTCCCAGCACCATTTATTAAATAGGGAATCCTTTCCCCATTTCTTGTTTTTGTCAGATTTGTCAAAGATCAGATGGCTGTAGATGTGTGGTATTATTTCTGAGGGCTCTGTTCTGTTCCATTGGTCTATATCTCTGTTTTGGTACCAGTACCATGCTGTTTTGGTTACTGTAGCCTTGTAGTATAGTTTGAAGTCAGGTAGCATGATGCCTCCAGCTTTGTTCTTTTGACTTAGGATTGTCTTGGCAATGCGGGCTCTTTTTTGGTTCCATATGAACTTTAAAGCAGTTTTTTCCAATTCTGTGAAGAAACTCATTGGTAGCTTAATGGGGATGGCATTGAATCTATAAATTACCTTGGGCAGTATGGCCATTTTCACAATATTGATTCTTCCTATCCATGAGCATGGTATGTTCTTCCATTTGTTTGTGTCCTCTTTTATTTCACTGAGCAGTGGTTTGTAGTTCTCCTTGAAGAGGTCCTTTACATCCCTTGTAAGTTGGATTCCTAGGTATTTTATTCTCTTTGAAGCAATTGTGAATGGAAGTTCATTCATGATTTGGCTCTCTGTTTGTCTGTTACTGGTGTGTAACAATGCTTGTGATTTTTGCACATTGATTTTGTATCCTGAGACTTTGCTGAAGTTGCTTATCAGCTTAAGGAGATTTTGGGCTGAGACAATGGGGTTTTCTAAATATACAATCATGTCATCTGCAAACAGGGACAATTTGACTTTTTCTTTTCCTAACTGAATACCCTTGATTTCTTTCTCTTGCCTGATTGCCCTAGCCAGAACTTCCCACACTATGTTAAATAGGAGTGGTGAGAGAGGGCATCCCTGTCTTGTGCCAGTTTTCAAAGGGAATTTTTCCAGTTTTTGCCCATTCAGTATGATATTGGCTGTGGGTTTGTCATAAATAGCTCTTATGATTTTGAGGTACGTTCCATCAATACCGAATTTATTGAGCGTTTTTAGCATGAAGGGCTGTTGAATTTTGTCAAAAGCCTTTTCTGCATCTATTGAGATAATCATGTGGTTCTTGTCTTTGGTTCTGTTTATATGCTGGATTATGTTTATTGATTTGCGAATGTTGAACCAACCTTGCATCCCAGGGATGAAGCCCACTTGATCATGGTGGATAAGCTT